AGTCCAAGCAGGAGATAACCAGAGCATGCACCACTCTGGCGAGGCAGTCCGTGGGCAGGGAGGGTCTCATCCTGCGTACCGGATGTAAGCTGGTAGACAGCCGCCCTGGACACAGAACTGACCAGCGCCTCCATGGACAGGTGTGAGTCCAGAATGACTCCCAGGCTGCGCACCTGGTCCTTCAGGGGCACAGTCACCCCATTGGGGACCAGGGAGTCCCCCACACCTGCATGCTCCCTGTCCCCGAACAACAGTACTTCCGTCTTATCAGGATTCAACCTCAAGTCCCAGGAAGCCTGTGTGTAGCAATGGCAGCGTTAAGTACCCTGGTGTGTGCCTCATGTCTTCCACGTTACTTTGCTGGTCCACCCCAATCTCAAAATATCTGATACTCCTGTTTTGCAGACCTGCTCTGATTTTGCAGGGGCCGCCAGCTGGGTGTGGGTATTTGCGTGTTTGCACTCTGAACTTCAGCCCCCAAAAAGTTCCCAGGTGATGGGGAACCTGCTTAAAAGCCTGAAGAACCAGTTGCCTCCCGGGGTCACCACAACTGGCAGTGGAAGACAGGAATGCCTGGGGTGCTGTGGTCCAGGGGGTCAAAAAGAGTCGGACACGACTAAACGACTAAACAACAACAACAACAACAACAAACAATTCTGTGACATGCAGAGAATAACAAATGCTGAAAAATCAGAGAGAGGAGCTGAGGGAAGTCTGGGGTGTGTGTGTGGAAGGGTGGGGTTTTTCTTTTTTTGGGGGGAGAGGGAAAAATGGGGAGAGGGGAAATGAACAAGGATTATGTATTTTTGACCATTTGTTATGTTGAAATTCTTAATAAAAAATATTCACAAAAAAAAGTGGTACCTCAGGTTACATACGCTTCAGGTTACATACGCTTCAGGTTACAGACTCCGCTAACCCAGAAATAGTGCTTCAGGTTAAGAACTTTGCTTCAGGATAAGAACAGAAATCGGGCTCCGGCGGCGCGGCGGCAGCGGGAGGCCCCATTAGCTAAAGTGGTGCTTCAGGTTAAGAACCGTTTCAGGTTAAATATGGACCTCCAGAACGAATTAAGTACTTAACCTGAGGTACCACTGTAGTACCAAGCAAGGTGGGCTTCTTGTTTCCTCGCAGACCCTCTTTTCCAACGACCCCCAAAAGTGTTTCCCAGGTACCTGCCCAGCCGCCCCCAATTCTAACCTGCAGGATTAACAAATGGTATATATTTTTCCGCTGGTGGGAAGAATAGGCAGGAATTGTTTAGGCACTTCAAAGGAGGGTCATTGAGAAAGATCAGAGGCAGGCAGCTGTGTGATCAGCCCCCCCCCCACTGGGAAGGAGAGGGCCCTAGAATTTTATGATCCCTTGGCTGGATCCCTTTAAAGTCCTGGGATCTTTTTGTTACGACCCTCGCACAGCCAGCGCTCTCCCTTGCTCTTAATCTTCCCGAATCTGCCTGTTCAGAAGGGGTGGGTGTGTTTTGGGGAAACGGGGTGAGTGCGTAGGGCTCCCAGCCCCCCACGTCCACAAAGCCAAAGAAATTTCAAGATGTCAGTCTACTTAACAACCACCACCTGCGTCTGGCTGCCACACATTTGCTCAGTGAGGAAGGTATAACAGGAATAACAGAGTTACAGGTAGGTAGCCGTGTTGGTCTGCCATAGTCGAAACAAAACAAAAAAATTCCTTCCAGTAGCACCTAGTTGTTGTTGAGTTATTTAGTTTCGTCCGACTCTTCATGACCCCCTGGACCAGAGCAGACCAGGCACTCCTGTCTTCCACTGCCTCCCGCAGTTTGGTCAAACTCATGCTGGTAGCTTCAAGAACACTGTCCAACCATCTCGCCCTCTGTCGTCCCCTTCTCCTTGTGCCCTCCATCTTTCCCAACATCAGGGTCTTTTCCAGGGAGTCTTCTCTTCTCATGAGGTGGCCAAAGTATTGGAGCCTCAGCTTCAGGATCTGTCCTTCCAGTGAGCACTCAGGGCTGATTTCCTTAAGAATGGAGAGGTTTGGTCTTCTTGCAGTCCATGGGACTCTCAAGAGTCTCCTCCAGCACCAGAATTCAAAAGCATCAATTCTTCGGCGATCAGCCTTCTTTATACTTCAACTCTCACTTCCATACATCACTACTGGGAAAACCAGAGCTTTTACTATGCGGAACTTTGTTGGCAAGGTGATGTCTCTGCTTTTGTTTTTGTTGATGTCTCTGTAGCACCTTAGAGACCAACTAAGTTTGTTATTTGTATGAGCTTTCAGGTTTGCCTTGGGGCAAAAGATGCGTAATAAATTGTAGTCGTAATAATAACAATATTTAATCTCAGGTTAGGAGCTGATAAGCATCAAAAGCGATAGTTGTGGCACTCTGGTTTTTACAAAAGCCCTCTAATACCAACTACAACTTTTTAAACCTCTCAGTTCCCAGCGCTGAATCTTTCTATTATCTTTTACGAGTGGCCAAGGGCTCATTCCAGAAGAACCTGTTTATCAAGCACTCATCCTGACTGGCACACACAAAGCTCACACAGATGTTAGATTATAGCTGCTCTTTATTGATCATTTGTTCTGATCCGTTTACAGGAGTGGTTATGTTCATCTCATATATTCGTTTAACAAAATCTGAATCTTGCCTATTTGTAATCAAACCTCTAAGCGGTTCACTACATTAAAATCATCCGTTAAAAAAAGTTTAAAACAAGGCATTAAAAACATTTTAAAAAATCATCACAGTTAACTGCAGGCTGAAAGGAGATTAAAACCTGTCACCGTCTACTGGTCTGGGCAGGCTTGCCTAACAAAAAATGTTTTAAGCAGGGAGAAACTATGCTTCGAAGGTTTCAATAGGCAGGGAGTTCCATAGTGTAGCTGCTCACAGACTTAAGAGATGTTTCTGGCTGCCCAGCTCACAGGGTGGATAAAAACCAATGGTTTTTTGTTGTTGTTCTTTTAAAAACAACAACCCAAAATCAGTTTTTTAAAAATTTAAATTGGATTTTTTAAAATTTGAATCAGATTTTTAAAATAAAATGCTTCTGGAGGTAATATCTTTCTAAACATAGCTTTCTGCTGAAGTTACATTATAGTCCAAAGGCATCAGAAAATAAGGATTTGTTTAAAGTTTTTCATGTGTGCTAAAACCCAGTCTAAGTGTGTGTTTTTTTAAATTGTTTAACCACATCAGTTAGCAAACATGGATACACATGCTATAATGTTATTGTTTTAGTTAAATAAATTGTTTAAATTGTTATTAAGGAAATGATTATTTTTCTCCTTCCAATAAAGTACAGCAGCAAAGTTGTCCAAATATAAACAGTTAAACCTCATCATAATTTCATAATTATCGGCCTATGTATTTCTAATAGTATACCCAAATCAGTAATTTTTGACATAACTGTAAAAACTACTCTGAAACTTTTATTATTCCAAAAGTGAAACCTTCATCTGGTTGTCAATATTAGGACGATACCAGCAAGAATGAGTCTGTCTGTTAAAAAAGAGAGATTTGAATCAAGTCTTACTGACTAGTGATTTAAAATCGTGATTTAAATCGATTCGATTAAAATCAAACCCACCCTGCTAACTCACCCCCATTCATTCACATATATTCATTCGAAATATGGGGTATGTCCTCTTTTTCATTACTGTTTGTATCACAGTTTATAATTTTGGTAAAGTGATATGTCATGCAGGTCATCGTCTGTAAAATTTTATTTTCAGTTTATGAAACAATTCTATATTCTCCCACCACGCTAACGAAGACCTACGAAACAGCAGTCAAAATCCGGAATCTCTGTTCAGTGTTGGACATTATATTTGCTGAATACACAAAGCTTCACAGCTTATCTTTCATCATACAAAGGTGGGTACCTCTCTTCATTTAAAGACTTTCAGAGACTTTGAGTCTAAGATTTCATTTTCAACTTGTTATTGTTTGAAGGAATTGTTTGAAGGAATTCTAGAAAGATTGTCTATTACGTACCGTATTTTTCGCTCCGTAAGACACACTTTTTTCTTCCTAAAAAGTAAGGGGAAATGTCTGTGCGTCTTATGGAGCGAATGCGTGGTCCCTGGAGCTGAATTGCCCAGGGGCAAAAAGCAGATTGTGCTTTTTTTTTTGAAAGAGGGAAGGGGGTGTTGAAACAAAACTGCTGAACGTTTGCTGATCGGGGAGAGAGATAAAGGATGCTAGAGATAAAGGAGGCTGCCTGGGAGTGGGGAGGTAAAGACAGCAAACTTGCAAAGAGGGGAAACAGGAAGACTAAAGCAATAAGGAGAGAAATTAGAAGAAAAGGAGGAGCAAAAAACTGCTCCAGCTAAGGAAAAGTCACTAAGGCAAACAAGAGGGAAGGGAGTGTTGAAAGGAAACAGCTGATCAGTGGGATTGGAAGAGAGATAGGGGACGCTAGCGGAGGCTGCCTGGGAGGGGGGAGGTAAAAGCCCATGGATCCTCATGATTTTTACATTGGGTCACCCCAAATTCACCATCAGATCACATAGCATGTCCATGGCTACAGCCTGCACCAAAAAAATCACACATCCACTGTTGCGTGGGTCCACAATGGCGCAAAAACATGGTTATAAGGCACGGATCCACATGGATTCTCAGGATTTTTGCATTGGGCTACCCCAAACTCACCATCAGGTCACATGTCTGTGGCCACAGCATGAACCACAAAAATCATACATCCACTGTTTCATTCAGAATATTTTTTTTTCTTGTTTTCCTACTCTAAAAACTAGGTGCGTCTTATGGTCAGGTGCGTCTTATGGAGCGAAAAATACGGTGTGTGTATGGTCATCATGTTGCCTAAACATTGTTGACGAAGCTCACCTCCAACCGCTGCAGATTTTCCTTGAGGAATGCAAAAAAAAAAGCTTCGTAGTTTTACTGAACTTGTCCTGTGAGGCCAGAGTTCAAAAGGCGCCTTGCACACCTTGCGGATCATAAAGGCAGTTCCCATCTCTCTTCTGGCTCGGGAGTCTTTGCTCACCTCCTCGTCTTCCTACCAGCCTCTGACTGGTTTCCAGGTAGCGATCACACGTCCCTCGCTGTGGACGTAGTAGACAGGATGCATGGCAGCGGTGGCGCAGGCCTGTTGGGGACACAAGGGTTGTGTGTTTGTTAAAAAGCCAGAAGCTGAAGAAAATGTTTAAAAGGACATTTGTAAAAAAAAACATGGTCTGAAGCTCAACATCAAAAAAACGAAGATCATGGCCACTGCTCCCATCACCTCCTGGCAAATGGAAGGGGAGGAAATGGAGGCAGGGAGAGATTTTACTTTCTTGGCCTCCATGATCACTGCAGATGGTGACAGCAGCCACGAAATTAAAAGACGCCTGCTTCTTGGGAGAAAAGCAGTGACAAACCTAGACAGCATCTTAAAAAGCAGAGACATCACCTTGCCAACAAAAGTCTGTATATTTAAAGCTATGGTTTTCCCAGTAGTGATGTATGGAAGTGAGGGCTGGACCATAAAGAAGGGTGATCACCGAAGAATGGATGCTTTTGAATTCTGGTGCTGGAGGAGACTCTTGAGAGTCCCATGGACTACAAGAAGATCAAACCTATCCATTCTGAAGGAAATCAGCCCTGAGGGCTCACTGGAAGGACAGATCCTGAAGCTGAGGCTCCAAGACTTTGGCCACCTCATGAGAAGAGAAGACTCCCTGGAAAAGACCCTGATGTTGGGAAAGATGGAGGGCCCAAGGAGAAGGGGACGACAGAGGACGAGATGGTTGGACACTGTTCTCGAAGCTACAAACATGAGTTTGACCAAACTGCGGGAGGCAGTGGAAGACAGGAGTGCCTGGCGTGCTCTGGTCCAGGGGGTCACGAAGAGTCGGACACGACTAAACGCCTAAACAACAACCACAAAAACCAGAAGCATTTCTGTTAGGGATTGTAGGACCAGACCTGCAAAGAAAAAACAAAGAACCTATTTATGTATGCAACAATAGCGGCAAGAGTCTTGATAGCACAAGGATGGAAGAATGAGTAAACCCCGACAAAAGAACAGTGGCAAGAAAAATTGATGAACTATGCGGAACTGGTGAAATTGACATACAAACTGCGAGATAAGGACAACTGTGACTTCAAAGAAGAATGAGAACTTTTTACAAATTACTTAAAAAGGCAACAGAATGAATTGGACTCCTTGGCAGGTTTTGAATAAACATACACAGATTTATGGACTGTTGACACAGTAGAGAGATAATATAAGGATTTATACAGTTTTACAGTATGCAGAGAACAATATGTGGTGAGAAATCAGAGAGAGGAGCTGAGGGAAGTTGGGGGGGGAGGGAGAGTTTGATGGGGGGGGGAAGGGGAAAAAATAACGAATACGACATGTTTTGATATTTTGTTATGTTGAAATTGTAAATAAAAAAATCCTTTTTTAAAAAATAAAAGCCAGAAACCTTTTTGTTAGGCATTATAGGTCAAGACTTGCCAAAAGAACAGAAGTTATTTATGTGTGCGACAACAACAGCTAGGATTTTCCTAGCCCAAAAATGGAAAGATGACAAGACTCCAATGAAAGAAGATTGGCAAGAAAAACGGATGGAATATGCTGAAACGGCGAAGCTAAGTGCAAAACTTAAGAGATAAGGACAGGGGTAAGCAACCTAAGGCCCGGGGGCCGAATCCGGCCCAATCTCCTCAATCCGGCCCGCGGACGGTCCGGGAATCAGTGTGTTTTTCATGAGTAGAATGTGTCCTTTTATTTAAAATGCATCTCTAGGTGATTTGTGGGGCCTGCCTGGTGTTTTTACATGAGTAGAATGTGTGCTTTCATTAAACATGCATCTCTGGATTATTTGTGGGGCATAGGAATTCGTTCATTTCCCTCCCCTTTCCTGGCTACAAGCTCCTCAGGTGAATGGCGCCTCTGACGCTGGCCAGGGGGTGCTGGTTATCTGGAGCCATCTCCAACTCCTTGAAAGATTCCATCAAGATTCGTTCATTTCCCCCCCAAAAAATATAGTCCAGCCCCACACAAGGTCTGAGGGACAGTGGACCGGCCCACGGCTGGAAAAGGTTGATGAACCCTGGCTAAGGACAATAGAGATTTTAAAAAAGACTGGGAACCATTTATGTTGTACCTACAGAAAAACCATAAAGATGTAGACCCGCCAGCAGGGTTTGAGTAAACACTTACAATTAACTGCTTAGAAATTAAGATTTAAAAATGGGAAAATAATAAAGCGCAAGAGGAAATGTGAAAACAAGTAGGGTATAAAAATGTGAAGAATGTAATAATATTTAAGTTAAAGACTGCATATTAAGGTAAAATAAAACAAGAAGGGGTAAGGAAACGTTCAAAGAACCAGAAAAGGAAGTTGAGGGAAGTCGTGGGGGGGGGGGATTTATATCCTATTTTGTTTTTGAGATAATGTTGTTTGTGATGGTGATAAAATCTGTAAAACTCAATAAAAATTATTCCCCCCCAAAAAGAGGTGTGTGTGTGCGTGTGCGCGCGTGCGCACACGCGCGCAAGACAGAGAGAGGATCAGGAGGGAAGACCACACACACACACGCACAGAGGCACAGAGGGAAATGCACTCTGAACATGGGCAGAGACGCTCTTCCCTCCAGCGAAGCTGAAGGCACACCAGCATCTCAGCGCGCAAATGCTCTCCAGTGCGCAAGCCGTACTTACGTGATAAGGGATCAGCGCCAGGAGGCTGCCCAGGGGGAACTGGGCAAAATCCAGCTTGCCTGCCACGGGTTCGATTCTGCCGTGCTCCTGGGACATCCCTACCAACCTGCAGAGGGAGAAGAGGGATCCGTAAGCCTGTTGGGATTTGCTTCAGAGTCTCTGGTCCCCCCCTACCCTGCCTCAGGTTGCCTATTGACATCAGGCCGGCGCCGCAAAGAGATCACGGAAGACGCCTGCCTGAAGTCAAGTGGCAGGGAGTTCCGGGGGTTAGGTGCTGCCACACGAAAATAGCCATCTCATGGGTGTGAGGCAGACATGGCACCTGTAAGGTGCCAACCGCGTTTGGGAGGACGGTGTACAATTCTGGCTGCCTCACCTCAAAGAGGAGATGGTCGAGTTGGGAAAAGGTTCAGAAATGGCCGCCAAAATGATTGAGGGGTTTTAGAGACCACCCGGTGCAGCGTTTCGGACTCTTTCGTTTAGAGAAAAGGCGAGTAAAAGGCGAAATGGTAGACATTTACAGTGGTACCTCGGGTTACAGACGCTTCAGGTTACATACGCTTCAGGTTACAGATTCAGCTAACCCAGAAATAGTGCTTCAGGTTAAGAACTTTGCTTCAGGATGAGAACAGAAATCGTGCTCCGGCGACACGGCAGCAGCGGGAGGCCCCATTAGCTAAAGTGGTGCTTCAGGTTAAGAACAGTTTCAGGTTAAGAACGGACCTCCGGAACTAATTAAGTTCTTAACCCGAGGTACCGCTGTATAAAAAAAATATTCCCTGGAAAACCTACGATTTACTGCCAAATCGGAACAAACATTTCCTGCGGTTTGACACTTGTTATGATTCAGGAGCAAATTTGCGGGTTTTCCTATGGAAAGAGGCAAGACAAAAGGAAGGCGTTTCCAAACTGTGCCCAGAAATCGTGGGACAAATGGAAAAAATTGTGGGATGCCATTATTATTATTATTATTATTATTATTATTATTATTATTTATACCCCGCCCTCTCCTGCCAGAGCAGGGCTCAGGGCAGTTAACACCAGTAAAATAACAGTAAAAACATAATGGGGGGGGGGGGGGAAACCAATTTAAAATACTGGTTAAAATGCCGTTTAAAATGCAGCCTCATTTTAAAAGCAGCCCATAGATCAAAACCATAACGGGAGGGCAACATAAGGGTCAGAGTGAGTCCAAACCAAAGGCCAGGTGGAACAGCTCTGTCTTGCAGGCCCTGCGGAAAAATGTCAGGTCCCGCAGGGCCCTAGTCTCTTGTGACAGAGCGTACCACCAAGTCGGGGCCAGTGCTGAAAAGGCCCTGGCCCTAGTTGAGACCAATCTAACCACCTTGCGACCTCCAAAATGTTGTCAGATAAGCCCTGAGACGGTATGCTGGTGAGACATATGACAGCAGTAGGCTATTGCCTGCGTTCTGGGCTTCCCCAAGTCAGGATGCACGTCTAGATGGGCTTTTGGTCAGATCCTGCAAGGCCCTTTGTAGGAAAGCCAAATTTTGGAGGCTGTTCCTTTTAAGATGTTGACAAAGTCTTGGTTGACCACAAACTTGACATGAGCCAACAGTGTGACGCGGCAGCTAAAAAAGCCAACGCAATTCTGGGCCGCATCAATAGGAGTATAGCATCTAGATCAAGGGAAGTAATAGTGCCACTGCATTCTGCTCTGGTCAGACCTCACCTGGAGTACTGTGTCCAGTTCTGGGCACCACAGTTCAAGAAGGACACTGACAAACTGGACCGTGTCCAGAGGAGGGCAACCAAAATGGTCAAAGGCCTGGAAACGATGCCTTAGGAGGAACGGCTAAGGGAGCTGGGCATGTTTAGCCTGGAGAAGAGGAGGTTAAGGGGTGATATGATAGCCATGTTCCAATATATAAAAGGATGTCACATAGAGGAGGGAGAAAGGTTGTTTTCTGCTGCTCCAGAGAAGCGGACACGGAGCAATGGATCCAAACTACAAGAAAGAAGATTCCACCTAAACATTAGGAAGAACTTCCTGACAGTAAGAGCTGTTCGACAGTGGAATTTGCTGCCAAGGAGTGTGGTGGAGTCTCCTTCTTTGGAGGTCTTTAAGCAGAGGCTTGACAACCATATGTCAGGAGTGCTCTGATGGTGTTTCCTGCTTGGCAGGGGGTTGGACTCGATGGCCCTTGTGGTCTCTTCCAACTCTATGATTCTATGATTCTATGATTCTATTCTAAGGCCAGGATCAACAGCACCAAAGCGAGCTCCATTTACTTGAGGTTGGGATGGCCTTCCACCAGGGCGTAGCCTGTCGGAAGCTGCCCCAGGCTGTGGAGACTCAGGCCGGTCCAGCCGCAGTCCACCAGTATCTGGTTGCGGTGTGGGTAGTGGCCAATCACCCTGGTCAAGACCCGGACGGCGATGTCCTCCAGCTGGCAGGAGCCGATCATCATCTGCTGGGCATCTGGAAGGGGGAGAGGGAGGGGAAGTTTCTCACATAAATGAATTCAAATGAAATTGTTCCAGGGGCCACCACAGAAAATGCCCCGCTGCTGGGAGACGGAGGGCCTAAGGGCTGCATTCCGTCCTGGGTAAGATTTAGGTCAGTGCGGACGGGGCCGTAGGTAATAGTGACCACCGAGATCTCTGTGAAAAGAGGTAAAGTAAAGGGACTCCTGACCATTAGGTCCAATCGCGGACGACTCTGGGGTTGCGGCACTCATCTCGCTTTATTGGCCGAGGGAGCCGGCGTACAGCTTCCAGGTCATGTGGCCAGAACCAGGTCATGTGGCGAACCAGAGCAGCACACGGAAACGTCATTGGCCTTCCCGCCGGAGTGGTACCTATTTATCTACTTGCACATGACGTGCTTTCGAACTGCTAGGCTGGCAAGAGCAGGGACCGAGCAACGGGAGCTCACCCCGTTGCGGGGATTCGAACCGCCAACCTTCTGATCAGCAAGTCCTAGGCTCTGTGGTTTAACCCACAGCGCCAACCGCGCCCCTGCCTGGACCGCTGGGGACCCCTCTCAGACACTGCGCCACTCTTGAGACGCTGTGCCAAATGTCGCCAGCTCAAGGGGCCTCCCGGATCGCACGGGCTGATTTATTCTTTCCCCGCAGGGGGACAGATTCCCTCACCACCCCTCTCTGCCAGCATAGCTTTGGAACGAGCTCTGTGGGGGAAGAGAAGCACATGGAAAGTGTTACTGGAAACGGAGGAGTAAATCTACATAAATTATGTGGGGGGGGGGCGAGAGAGAGAGAAAGGGAGTGAATTTCTGGTGAATCTTTCCAGCAAAAAAAGCCAAAACAGGTGGGGCTTGCATGCCATTGTTAACTTTTTCCATCTGCCTTTTTCAATGGGAGCCTTTCTGCATGCACAGCACAGTGGCAGAGTCGTCTCCAGTTAGAAAAACAGATCTCAGGAACTTCCACAGAGCAGCCCTCTCAGCCAGAGAGGACTTGGAAGGCTGCTGCAAGCCAGAGCCTGGCTAGCTTGCTGTTCTTTGCGGAGCTGGTGCTACCATAATGGCTTCTATTCCTCGCACGGAGCTGCCTGAGGTTTGAGATCCTCAGGGGGAGGCCCATATCTCAGTCCTGCTGCCCCCCTCCCTGGCAAGCTAGGTGGGCAGGGCCTTCTCGGTGGTGGCTCCTCCCAGGCAACTTTGGAATTCCCTGCCTAGGGAAGTGAGATTGGCTCTCTCCTCGATGTCTTTATTGTTATTTATACCCCGCCCATCTGGCTGGGCTTCCCCAGCCACTGTGGGCGGCTTCCAACAAAATATTAAAATACAGTGGTACCTCAGGTTAAGTACTTAATTCGTTCCAGAGGTCTGTATTAAAACTGAAGCGCCACTTTAGCTAATGGGGCCTCCCACTGCTGCCGTGCTGCCGGAGCACAATTTCTGTTCTTATCCTGAAGCACTATTTCTGGGTTAGCGGAGTCTGTAACCTGAAGCATATGTAACCTGAAGGGTATGTAACCTGAGGTACCACTGTACCCTAATACATCAAACATCAAAAGCTTCCCTAAACAGGGCTGCCTTCAGATGTCTTCTAAAAGTCTGGTAGTTGTTGTTCTCTTTGACATCTGGTGGGAGGGCGTTTCACAGGGCGGGTGCCACCACTGAGAAGGCCCTCTGCCTGCTTCCCTGTAACTTGGCTTCTCGCAGGGAGGGAACCACCAGAAGGCCCTCGGCGCTGGACCTCAGTGTCCGGGCAGAATGATGGGGGTGGAGACGCTCCTTCAGATATACTGGACCGAGGCCGTTTAGGGCTTTAAAGGTCAGCACCAACACTTTGAATTGTGCTCGGAAACGTACTGGAAGGAGCAGGATGTGTCCCCCATCCAAGCTACTGCCCCCTCCCCTAATACTCCATGTATCCCACGCAGCTTACCATAAAAGAGAAAGTTCCCAGGGTGGACTTCGCTGAGTTGGGCCATCTCAGGCACCGGGTGGCTGCAGGAGGGAGTGGAACCGATACTGCAGATGGAACAGGCCACCCCGGCTTCTTTCAGCCTGGAGGAGATGGGAAAAGGTTAAAGTATGGTTACCAGACGTCCCCGTTTCCCGGGGACAGTCCCTGGATTTACAAATCTGTCCCCAGGCAAAATCCGTCCCCGGATTTCATTGAAGGTCTCTGGATTTATATTTTTAGTGTTGTTGATTTATTAGTAGGGAGTGAAAGTTGTGTGATTGGTTCAACGGCACAAGACACATCATATGGGGACTTCTGGTGGTGAGGCAAAATGGCGGGCGCTACAGCAGTGAGCAGCTCCTGAAGCCAGCCAGAGCCAACTGCGCTACCATATAATATAATAATAATAATAATAATTTATTATTTATACCTTGCCCATCTGGCTGAGTCTCCCCAGCCACCCTGGGCGGCTTCCAACAAAGTACAGTCATACCTCGGGTTAAATACGCTTCAGGATAAGTATTTTCGTGTTGCGCTCCGCGTTGATGAAAAGATTTAAGGATGTTAATGTTCAAGTTAAATTTTATAAGAACTGTGATCTGGAAAACCGTTAAAAGGATATGCATTGAAATTCAACAAGGGGAAGCGAGGAAGTCACTTAACAATGTTAATAAGTATATTTTTTAATAAGGTTATGATTTTTGTTTGTTTTTAATTTTGTGAAAATCAATAAAATAAATTGGGGGAAAATTAAATGTACAATGCAGAAGGATCTCAGAAGAGTGAGGGAAGATAATGTTGCAAAGCTATAAGGCTGGCGGTGGGGTGGAGTTGAAGAAAAACCATCTCTCCTTCCCCTTGACCCCTCCTTAAGTTTGCAAATGGGTGTGAGATTCGAACTCGGGTCTTTGTGGCTCACATAAGCCTCTGCAGTGCACGGGGCAGGGGCTCCTTCTTCTAAAAGCAGGCAGTGTTTAAACCCTCTGAAAACCCTTCTAAGTAGTATGGAGGCAAAACCAGTTGTTATTTTATTTTATTGGCAGCTGCGTAGGCGAGATGAGCCCAAGAGCCCAGAGGGCGCGAATGTTGGCAACTCGTTTCTGTGTCCCCGGATGGCCCTGCCTGCCCCCAAACTCCCAGGGCTGCTCCCCCCCTGGAAACTGCCTCTTTCCCCTCATTCACCATGTCCGCTTGTGACATCACAGGAAGTTGGGGCACCTCAGCAGTTATTAAAAATGAGGTGACCCCGCCATTGTGAGGTCAGGGAGGGCTGTGCAGATGTTTCCCCAGCTGTGGCCATTGGCTACCAACTCCCTGTGATGTCACAAGGGGGTGCAGCCCCCTCTTCCTGTGACATCACTACTTAGAAATTTCCCATATAATAAAAACATGGCACAAAACAGGGATTTCTTTTCAGAAAATGTTTATTTTGTAAAAAATTAGAAAGCCGTTTATTTAGAAAACAGGAGCTGTCTGGCTTAAGTCCTGCGGTTCTCTTCCTGACTTTCACGGCTGGTCTCGGGGGAAACTTCGCCGGCTCCGGCCGTTCCTGAAAGGCAATTTGTGGGGTCAGTGAAGCAGAAGATCTTCCCCATTGCATACTCCATGGTCAGCTCTATCAAAACCCCAGAGAGATTTTTGGAAAAGATGTTGGCACCGCTAAAGGGACAGAACCCAGAAGGGAAAATAGGTTGGCTATTACCTGACTGAGATGCTTGTCACATATAAAACAGCCTTATTGGAATTCATTAATTTGAGTTATTGTAAATAGTTGCTTGTTTCTGGGTCTTTCTTAATAGGTTTTATTGGATTGGCTGCTTCTGGAACTGGATCTTTAATGGCTTTTAGTCAAATACAATAAATGATTTTTTGATGAAATGGTGCTTTTTTCCTGAGATGATAACTTTCTCCCTGCATGTCACTCCTTGAAAAGATTCCAGTGCATAGATGAGACTCACTTTCATTGTTCTGTTCATTTGTGTGTTTGACCAGTGTTGTGTGGAGGGAAATGCAACCACTGGGCTGAAAAATGCCCCCCTCCTGCCCCACTGGGTTTCCGGTGTGGCCTTCACAGATACTGGCACAAATTGGGGAGGAGGGTGTTATATATCTCCTTGGTCAAAAGCCAAGGAGCCAATGGCTGCTGAGCTGCGCCCCTCATTGTGAGGTCTGAGGGGTGATGGGGATGCCTCCCCAGATGCTGCCATTGTGATGCCACAAAAACATTGGGCAGCTGAGACGGTATAAATGTTGGCCAAGTCACAGGCCGAGGCAGTTGCCTCAGTGGAGGCACTCAGCTCGGGTGGTCCCCTGCCCCGTGGGGCAAGCTGGCCGGAGGAAGGAGGCGATCGCCCGGCGCTGGGATGCTGTGGAGCAAGGAGAAGGCAAGTTGAGGTTTACTTGCTGGTGGGATCGCACTTGAAGGTGGATGAAATTCAGCTCTGAAGCAGGGGGAGGTCTGGCAATGGACCTGGCGCGGCTGTTGGTGGTGGACGGATTGCCGGAAGGTTTGCATTCAGTGCCTGGTTGATGCCGCAAGGCTACAAGACTGGCCGAGGGGATGCAAACGGGTTTGGAAGCCTAGTTTGTTTATTAACAGGCGGACAAACCGAGGAGGGAAGCTGCCCATTTGGCAGCGGGTGAGTGTCCCTAGGCGAATTCTGTGGTGAGGGAAAGTTGCCCATCGGCTTCTAGTGGTGGCGCCTAGGTGAAGCCAGGTTCACATTTGGGGATGTCAGTGGAGGCCGAGAGGCCCGTGAAGCTGGCCGATCCATTTGTGAACGCTATCTGGTGACATTCACCTTTGTCTTTGGCCCTCAACCTAAGGTCAACAGACCTACCTTTTGAGAATGTCAGCTTGCTGACATTCGTAGAGCTCTTGACCTTACGTCGACGGCCAAAGCGAGGAGGGAACTACCCGGCACAGCCCTAGAGGTGGAAACCAGGGAAACCAGTGTAGTCCCATGTGGATCTACCACTTCAAACTGGTGACCCTCCACTTCTGCAACCTGCCTTGACGGGGCAGGCCAGTCAGGGATGAAGTTGTCAGACCAAAGCCTGTGGAAGAGTCTGGGTGGACGCTGTGATAGTCGCCATCCCATCAACGTGTTTGCCTTTGCCTTTCAGGGAAATCCAATGGCGGTGAGGTTTTCCCCAAGACCAGACGGTTGTGGCAAGCTAGCAAGTGGAAGGAGGCGATCGCCTGGCGTTGGGATGCTGTGGAGCAAGGAGAAGGCAAGTTCCAGTTGACTTGCTAGTGGGATCGCTACCTGAAGGCGGCCGATATTCAGCTCTGAAGCTGGCTTACGTCTGGCGATGGACCTGGCCAGGCTGTTGGTGGTGGATGGATGCCGGAAGAGTTTGCATTCAGGCTAGTGGATGCCGCGAGGCTACGCCTGTCGAAATGGGTGCAAACTGTGGTTTGGAAGCCTAGTTTGTTTATTAACAGGCTGCCAAACCGAGGAGGGAAGCTGCCGCTAGAGCAGCGGGTGAATGCCCCTAGGCGGAAACCAGTTGTGATTTGCATTTGCATTTAAATGATGTCAGTGGACGCCCTAAGCTGAAGCTGGCTGATATTTGCAGGTGTGGACCAGCTGGTAGTGAGGAGGGAAAGTTGCCCATTCGGCAGCTTGTGGAGGCGTCTAGGTGAAGCCAGTGTTCACAAATAGACGCCAAGGGAGGCCGCAAGGCTGATGAAGCTGGCTGCTATTTGTGGACATGGCTGGCATTCACCCATGTCTTTGGTCCATCCATTTAATGACAAAAGGCCTAGGCCTCTTGACATTAAACGGATGGCCAAATTGAGGAGGGAAGATGCCCGGCACAGCCATGGAGGTGCTCAACTGGAGCCAGCGGACTTCACAAACAGACGCCAGCGGAGGCCGCAAGGCTGATGAAGCTGGCTGCTATCTGTGAACGAGAACTGGTTTTCCTTCATCTCCGGGAGCCTGCCCATTTTTGCGCAGGCCTGCCAGGGGTGAAGTTGCCAGGCGGAAGCCAGGGGAGTCTGGGTTGACGCTGTCGGATGGTGGTCACCCCACTCATCTGTTTGCCTTTGCCTTTCAGGAATGGCCGGAGCCGGCGAGGTTTCCCCCGAGACCAGCCGTGAAAGTCATGAAGAGAACCGCAGGACTTAAGCCAGACAGTTCCTGTTTTCTAAATAAACGCCTTTCTAATTTTTTACAAAATAAATGTTTTCTGAAAAGAAATCCCTGTTTTGTGCCATGTTTTTATTATATGGGAAATTTCTAAGTAGTGATGTCATAGGAAGAGGGGGCTGCACCCCCTTGTGACATCACAGGGAGTTGGTAACCAATTACCACAGCTGGGAAACATCTGCACAGCCCTCCTAGGCCTCACAATGAGGGGGGACACACCTATTTTTAATAAATGACTGTTGAGGTGCCCTCCCATTGTGAGGCCAGCGAGGGCTGTGCAGATGTTTCCCCAGATGTGATCGTTGGCGACGGACTCCCTGTGATGTCATAGACATCTACCAACTCCCTGTGATGTCACAAACGGACATGGCGAATAAGGGGAAAGAGGCAGTTTTTGGTGGGGGGGAGCAACCCCTGGAGTTTGGGGGCAGGCAGGGCCATCCGGGGACACAGAAACGAGTTGCCAACATTTGCGCCCTCTGGGCTCTTGGGCTCATCTCGCCTACGTAGCTGCCAAGAAAATCAAAAGAAATCACAACTGCTTTTGTCACCCCACCACTTATTGGTGGCTGGAGATAAGGGGCGTGAATTCAGAAGGAAATGTAATGTAAAAGGACCCCATAGTGAAAGCAAACCCTCCAAGTGCTCCTATTTTCCAGGGACAGTTGCCCAACCACAGGACTTAAGCCAGCCACCTTCAGTTTTCTAAATGAATAAATAAATGCCTTTCTAATTTATGTTTTTAAAATAAAGGTCTTTTTGAATACCAATATTTTGTGCCACGTTCATTGTATGGGAAATCAAGGTCCTGAGTAAGATAAAGGGGGAAAATAATTAATAATACCTCAGCTCCAAAAACTAATGGTCTTGGAGCACTCCAAAAACTAACAAGTTTAGGGGATAGCTCGTAGTCCAGTAAGATTGTCTTCCATAAACACGGTTTTAACAATGAGTCCGTAAGTGACTGCAGAGGCCAATTCTAGATCCACACGTCCTTCCACAGTGGGGACATTGGTTTCCGGGCGGGAGTTGATCACGGTGTGGATTTGCCAAGCGTGCCTTCCTCTTAGCACGTTTCTCCCTTGCGTCCTGAGTTCGAGTGTCTTCAAAGCCCATGGCACCTTTGGGAAAGGCTGTTCTCCAACTGGAGCGCTCGCAAGCCAGTGTTTCCCAGTTTTCAGTGTTTATACTACATCTTTTAAGATTTGCCTTGAGACAGTCTTTAAACCTCTTTTGTTGACCACCAGCACTACGCTTTCCATTTTTAATGGAAGTAGAATAGCTGCTTTGGAAGACGATCATCCAGCATCCACACAACATGACCAGTCCAACGAAGTTGATGTTGAAAAATCATTGCTTTGACATGGGTGATCTTTGCTTCTTCCCGTACACTGGTATTAGTTCGCCTGTCTTCCCAAGTGATGTGTAAAATTTTTCGGAGACACTGTTGATGGAATCTTTCGAGGAGTTGGAGGTGGCGTTTATAAGTGGTCCATGTTTCACAAGCACACAGCAAGGTTGGTAGTACAATAGTTTGTTGACAAGCATTTTGGTTTCCCTGCGAATGTCCCAGTCCTCAAACACTCTGCAGAATTGGATAGAATCGTGAGCAATAGGCATGCATGCACACGTAGTTTTTTATTTGTATCCTGGCCTTTCCGCAGTTCAGACCATGATCAAGGCGGCTTATGACATGGAAAAAGCGCATAATTACAGCATCACAAAAGTAGCCATGGAATTGCAGAGTTGGAAGGGACCCCCCGGTCATCTAGTCCAACCCCCTGCAATGCAGGAATCTTTTGCCCAAGGTGTGACTCGAATCCACAACCCCAAAATGAAAAGTCTCATTCTCCACCATCTGAGCTAAATAAAACATTTTTTTTAAAAATTGCACAACCAAACGGAACCATTTCCACACAGATCACAACAAGAGCTAGAACAAAGATACAAAAAAGCCAACAGCAAGAACCCTCCAAATATAACCGCAGCCCAAGAGTCTGTTCAACAGTCTCAGCTTTTGTAGCTGGAGTCAGTCCACGCCCTGCCTGCCCAAGCCAGGTGGGAAAAGGCTTGTAAGGCAGGGAGCCAGTCTTCCTGGACTCCCAGGAAGATGGTTTCTGAATATATGACACCCGGCGCAGAATACCTGTTTTTTAGCAAACCAAGAATCCTTTCCTCAACGAAGGCGAATAGTGGAAGATTCAGAACGGATAAAAGAAAGCAATTTTTCTTTTTTCTTTTATTGATTTCCCAAAAAATTTAAACAAACATACATACATCTTAATTATACTTAATCCAATCTTAGTAACATTATTCAGTGACTTCCTCAAATCCCCCTGGCTGAATTTCAGTGTATATCATTGTTATGTTGGAGGGTACGCTTCCCCCAATGCAAAAAATTACTCCACCCTCCCCACATTCACAGCCATGCGCTAAACCTCCCCAGCCATTCCCTCCAGGGTGTGAACCAAGATCTGGCTTTGTGTGGGTGTGTTTGCAAGTTGTGTTGGCAAACATCAGCCACAACTTTCCCGCGGCCTTTGAAGAGGCAGCTTCAAAGGCCCTCACCTGAATTCAAAGGCCCTCACCTGAAACTAAGGGAGGAGGAGGAGGAGGGACACAGCATAATATTAGCCGGGTGCCTCGTAAAAGCAAGCCAGAGAGCTGCATTTACGGCCTTTTTAACTGGTGGAGGACATAAAGGACAGCTGGCTTGTGTGTAGGAGTGCTTTGACCCATAAGCACGTGGGGGGGAGAGGGAAACAGTGGCGTAGCGTGGGTTGTCAGCACCCGGGGCAAGGCAAGTAATTTGCGCCCCCTAACCCGTGGATTTGCGCCCCCTAACCCTAACCCCCAGATGTTGCGCCCGGTGCGGCCGGCCCCCCCTGCACCCCCCACACTACGCCACTGGAGGGAAATGCCACCGAGATGCCACCAGGATGGGAGGCAAGCACTGGGCAGTGCAAGGATTAACCCGTGGGACTCGCTGCCACAAGACGAAGAGATGACCACAGGGAGACAGCGATCGATGGCTACTAGCCATTTTGTAAACAAAATCTGTCCTTTTCCCCTTACAGGGTATCCAAGAGCCCATATAGAGTCCTTACATAGGTTCCCTATTGGTAGGAGAAAATAACAGAGGCCAACCAGAGAATATTGAGAAGCAAAGCAGCTAGTAAGCCTGATCTTAATTGATCTGTTTCAACAGGGTGCTCCCCTCACACGGAGGAGGGAGGAGGAACCCAGAACAATGGCGCGCAAGACTTTTGAAATTGCCACCCTGTAGATCAAGACCACCCCCAGGAACATCATACATACATCACAGAAGGGGTGTAGCTCAAGACACCCCCCCCAGATACATCATACCTTGTTGTTGTTGTTTAGTTGTTTAGTCATGTCCGACTCTTCGTGACCCCATGGACCAGAGCACGCCAGGCACTCCTGTCTTCCACTGCCTCCCGCAGTTTGGTCAAACTCATGCTGGTAGCTTCAACAACACGGTCCAACCATCTCGTCCTCTGTCGTCCCCTTCTCCTTGTGCCCTCCATCTTTCCCAACATCAGGGTCTTTTACAGGGAGTCTTCTCTTCTCATGAGGTGGCCAAAGTATAGGAGCCTCACCTTCAGGATCTGTCCTTCCAGTCAGCACTCAGGGCTGATTTCCTTCAGAATGGAGAGGTTTGATCTTCTTGCAGTCCATGGGACTCTCAAGAGTCTCCTCCAGCACCATAATCCAAAAGCATCCATTCTTCGGCAACCAGCCTTCTTTATGGTCCAGCTCTCACTTCCATACATCACTACTGGGAAAACCACAGCTTTAACTATACGGACCTTTGCTGGCAAGGTGATGTCTCTGCTTTTTAAGATGCTGTCTAGGTTTGTCATTGCTTTTCTCCCAAGAAGCAGGCGTCTTTTAATTTTGTGGCTGCTGTCACCATCTGCAGTGATCATGGAGCCCAAGAAAGTAAAATCTCTCACTGCCTCCATTTCTTCCCTTCTATTTGCCAGGAGGTGATGGGACCAGTGGCCATGATCTTCGTTTTTTTGATGTTGAGCTTCAGACCATATTTTGCGCTCTCCTCTTTCACCCTCATTAAAAGGTTCTTTAATTCCTCCTCACTTTCTGCCATCAAGGTTGTGTCATCTGCATATCTGAGGTTGTTGATATTTCTTCCGGCAATCTTAATTCCGGCTCGGGATTCATCCAGCCCAGCCTTTCGCATGATGAATTCTGCATATAAGTTAAATAAGCAGGGAGACAATATACAGCCTTGTTGTACTCCTTTCCCCATTTTGAATCAATCCCCTTCATGGATCAGTGCCTTGCTGTGGCGAAGGGGCTTGAACAACTCAGAGAAGCTATGAACTATGCCATGCAGGACCACTCAAGATGGACAGGTCATAGTGGAGAGTTTTGACCAAACGTGATCCACCTGGAGCAGGAACCGGCAAGCCACTCCAGTATCCCTGCCAAGAAAACTCCATGGACAAAGACAACAGGCACTTTTCCTTAGGACGTCCCTATTTTCACTGGAGAAAAGTTGGAGGGTATGGAGTTATCCGACCCCTGAGCCATCTGAAGGCAATCCTGTATGGGGAAGTTTTGGGTTTTTTAACGTTTAATTTTTTAAAAATTATTTTATTATTTTTTAAGGCAGCCCTGTATCGGGTAGGTTTTAATGTCTGACATTTTATTATGTTTTTATACATACTGTAAAGCCGCCCAGGGTAGCTTTTTATATATGTTGGAAGCTTCCCTGAGTGGCTGGGGCGACCCAGTAAGATGTGTGGGGTATAAGTAGCAAAAATTATCATGACAGAACGGGACGTCCCTGTTTTCATCAGATAAATGTTGGAGGGGATGGTAGGATGCCCCTATTTTCACAGGGGAAATTTTGGAGTGTATGGAGTTATCTGACCCCTGACCTGTCTGAAGGCAATCCTGTATGGGGAAGTTTGGGGTTTTTTTAACGTTTAATTATGTCTTTTATATATATGTTGGAAGCTGCCCAGAGCGGCTGGGGCAACCCACTAAGATGTGTGGGGTATAAACAGCAAAAATTATCGTTTTGGAACGGGACGTCCCTGTTTTCACCAGAGAAATGTTGGAGGGTACGATGTCCCACTTGATTGCTCTGAGTTCCCATTACATCAAAGCTCGCATCAAAGGCTCTGAACTTCCAACGGCTGGAAAAGGATGGTGGTCTCTCCGTCGAATCCCCCTTTTTCTTGTCTGCTTTGCATGTGGGTGATTTAAAGGCCGGGCCTGGAAAGTATTGTGTCTGCACCCCCTTGCTTTATTCTCCTCTCCCGCCCCCCACTCCGCCATCCCTCCTCCTGCCCCTAAACTGTGTTCCACTTCCTGCCTGCAACTAATCTGAACCTCCACGGAAACATCTGAGGGGAATTTGCCCCAATAAAACAGGAAACTTTCTCATACCCTCGCAAAGAGAGGGAGAGAACATTGGAAGACGTTCCGGCGAAAGAGGAGTGGAATTTAAAACTACGGGACCTGTATAGAGACGGCAAAATGGACGGCAAAAATAAGAGACCCAAAAGACAAAAACATTCGTGGAAGAGCGGAGAACCTTTTGGGATTATCTGGGAAAATATTACAGCCAAAGGAAATGGCAAAGGAACGAGAACAATAAAAGAACGTAATGTAGGATATATGTTAATAAGTATTATGTTTAAGATAAAGGATTTGAACAGAAACATCATGGAAGTTAAGAATGGGGAGTCAAAATGCTAAGTGAATATTGTATGGAAACAACGATATTTGTTAAGCTGTATTACTATTTGTTAAATTTGTATACCAACCTATACCTCCAGGTCTCAGCGCGGTTGACAGCATAAAATGCAATATGAAAAAACCCAAAATACATAATGAAAACCAAAACAGACTTAGTTGTTTCCGCTATGGACCATAAGGGACTTTTGATGCTGACAGCCCACTGCCCCCTAGCGGCCACATGGGGGAGTAAGCACACAAAATGCACCTCTTTTTTTAAAAAATAAAACTACTGTACACAGAATTCTACGGGGATCCTGAAGGTCATGTAGCCCAACCCCCTGCAATGCAGGAATCTCCTTGCCCAACACGGGTTCGAACCCGTGACCCTGGGATTAAGAGCCTTATGCTCTACCAACTCAGCTATTTGTAGTCGCTCTTGCGTTAAGAAATGCAATCAAAGAGCGTTAACATGTGGAATCCTAAGGTTGGGATTGCGAACTCTACAGTTCTATGATTCTATAGGATCACAGGATCCTGCTGCCTTGTCATGCCTGCTAGCCGGTATTGGACCGGATTCTGGGCCCCATTGTTTGCCTGCTCCAGATCCGGCCAGCTACTCCCCTTGCTCTGTTAAACTAGGGCAAGATGGAGTTTGGGCCCAACTCAGCCACGGCAGCTCCTAGTGGCTCAAAGCCAGAGTGGCGGAAGTATATCAGACTTGAGTTCGAATCCTCCTTCAGTGCTGAAGCTCACTGGGTGACCTTCGTAATCCAAGCGAGAGATACTGCAATGCGCTCTACGTGGGGCTATCTTTGAAGGTGACCCGGAAACGGCAACTAATCCAGAATGCGGCAGCCAGACTGCTGACTGGAGGCGGCCGCCGAGACCACATAACACCGGTCTTGAAAGACCTACATTGCCTCCCAGTACATTTCCAAGCACAATTCAAAGTGTCGGTGCTGACCTTGAAACTCTAAACGGTCTCGGCCCAGTATACCTGAAGGAGCGTCTCCACCACCATTGTTCTGCCCGGACGCTGAGGTCCAGCGCCAAGGGCCTTCTGGCGGTTCCCTCACTGCAAGAAGCAAGGTTGCAGGGAACCAGGCAGAGGGCCTTCTCGGTGGTGGCGCCCGCCCTGTGGAATGCCCTCCCACCCGATGTCAAAGAGAAGAACAACTACCTGACATTTAGAAGACATCTGAAGGCAGCCCTGTTTAGGGAAGCTTTTAATGTTTAACAGACCACTGTATTTTAATACTTTGTTGGAAGCTGCCCAGAGTGGCTGGGGAGACCCACCCAGATGGGCGGGGTATAAATAATAAATTATTATTATTATTATTATTATTATTAGGCCAGCCGCTGCGTCTCAGTTTGACCTACCTCACAGGGTTGTTGTGGGGACTAAATAAATAGCGTACGCCACCTTGAGCTCCTTAGAGGGGAAAAGGTGGGATATTTAAAGCAGCAAATCAATAAATATATCCTGCAAGAGAATGAAGGCTTAAAAGCACTCACTGGTCCATGAACTTCAGGGTCAACGCAGTGGTGGTGCGAGCCACGGACTGGATTTCGGACGCTCCGTGGCAGCTGTAGGAATTGCCGCAGTGTGCGTATATCCCCGCCAGTTCGGTTGCCCCTTCTGCGATGGCCTTGGCAAGCTCCAGGGCGGTGGGGTCCGAATGCCTCAGGCCGGCTGGAATTAAAGCGGAGAAAAAGGGATGGGAGATGTATAGCACACAAGTTTTCTGGCTGGTGCCCGTTGGGACTTGATAGGGCGGAAAGCAAACTATGGCAATATCCATTCTACAAGGCAGGCTCAAGCAGTATGTGGACTGCGAACTCCCAGAAGTGCAAGCTGGATTTCGAAGGGGCAGAGGAACCAGAGACCAAATTGCAAACATGCGCTGGATTATGGAGAAAGCGAGAGAGTTCCAGAAAGACATCTACTTCTGCTTCATTGACTATGCAAAAGCCTTTGACTGTGTCGACCACAAGTTCTTAAAGAAATGGGAGTGCCGGATCACCTCATCTGTCTCCTGAGAAATCTCTATGTGGGACAAGAAGCTACAGTTAGAACTGGATATGGAACAACTGATTGGTTCAAAACTGGGAAAGGAGTACGGCAAGGCTGTATATTGTCTCCCTGCTTATTTAACTTATATGCAGAATTCATCATGCGAAAGGCTGGGCTCGATGAATCCCAAGGCGGAATTAAGATTGCCAGAAGAAATATCAACAACCTCAGATATGCAGATATGCAGATGACACAACATTGAAGGCAGAAAGTGAGGAGCAATTAAAGAACCTTTTAATGAGGGTGAAAGAGGAGAGCGCAAAATATGGTCCGAAGCTCAACATCAAAAAAACGAAGATCATGGCCACTGGGCCCATCACCTCCTGGCAAATAGAAGGGGAAGAAATGGAGGCACTGAGAGATTTTACTTTCTTGGGTTCCATGATCACTGCAGATGGTGACAGCAGTCACGAAATTGAAAGACGCCTGCTTCTTGGGAGAAAAGCGATGACAAACCTAGACAGCATCTTAAAAAGCAGAGACATCACCTTGCCAACAAAGGTCCGTATAGTTAAAGCTGTGGTTTTCCCAGTAGTGATGTATGGAAGTGAGAGCTGGACCATAAAGAAGGCTGATCGCCAAAGAATTGATGCTTTTGAATTCTGGTGCTGGAGGAGACTCTTGAGAGTCCCATGGACTGCAAGAAGATCAAACCTCTCCATTCTGAAGGAAATCAGCCCTGAGTGCTCACTGGAAGGACAGATCCTGAAGCTGAGGCTCCAAGACTTTGGCCACCTCATGAGAAGAGAAGGCTCCCTGGAAAAGACCCTGATGTTGGGAAAGATGGAGGGCACAAGGAGAAGGGGACGACAGAGGACAAGATGGTTGGACAGTGTTCTGGAAGCTACCAGCATGAGTTTGAGCAAACTGCGGGAGGCAGTGGAAGACAGGAGTGCCTGGCGTGCTCTGGTCCATGGGGTCACGAAGAGGCAGACACGACTAAACAACTAAACAACCACAACAACAAGGGGGCGCCACAGAGCCAACGATTGCAGGAGTTGTTCCATGTTTGCTTCTATCCTCCTCCCAGTTGAGTTCCACAAGCAGCAGCGAGGAGGAGGAAGCTGTGGCTCCGCCCCTTGTCTCCAAGCCTCCAAGCCCCACCCCAAACCCCCAGGCTCCGCCATGCATGGGGAGTCCATAGAATCGTAGAGCTGGAAGGGAGAATCGTATAGTCCCTTCCTCCAGCAATGCAAGGATGTTTTGCCCAACATGGGGCTCGACTCACACAACCCTGAGATTAAGAAACTCATGCAAACTTTTCCAGCAGGGGGCCGGTCCACTGTCCCTCAGACCTTGTGAGGGACTGGACTATATTTTGACAAAAATAATAATGAACGAATTCCTATGCCCCACAAATAACCCAGAGATGCATTTTAAATAAAAGGACACATTCTACTCATGTAAAAACATGCTGATTCCTGGACCGTCCACGGGCCGGATTTGAAGGCGATTGGGCCGGATCCGGCCCTCGAGCCTTAGTTTGCCTCTCCATGGGCTGAGCTACGTAGCTGCATGAAAGGGGTGCTAAATTGTTCAACTTCTGACTTCCCAAAATGAGAGGGGTGCTCAAAAGTCGCAACACGACCGGAGAATTCAAAAGATATTTTGGTTTCGTTAATATGGTCGTGGGGAAAAGAAAACGCGCCCTCTTTGAATTCTGTGGTTGTACAGATCAGAACATGATTAACAGCCACTTGTTTCTTAGCAGGTCTTAAAACTAGGTAAATGCAACCTCAGATGAACAATGACACATGGCTGTTGGGAATCAAGCCTTTATCAGGAGAAACTGGCCACTCTCCAGCTTGATCTCCTGTTGACCTGTTGACCTCCCTGTCTGCATTCCCCAGCAGGATCCAGGCAGAGGTTGCGATAGGCGATCCTTCTCAGAGTGAGAAGAACACACCCCCTCTTTCCTGCCCCCCCAGGCAGGGGAAAGAGATAGACAGAAACGTATTTACATGCCTTTATTTCTGTCTTTGCAGCGTTACAGAAATCATGACTGCTCTCTTCAAGCTTCAGCAGTCGAGAGACAAACTCCTCCTGTACTTCCTGTACAGCTCATATTACACTCTGAGCTAATTCCGGTGCCCTCTGCACTGTGAATTGACTGTCCCTCTGTTTCCCACGGAACAGTCCCAACATTCCCATTATGTTTTGCTTTCAAGCTACCAGCTCGCGGCCGCATTCCTTCTATATCGTAACAATGACATATTACTCCGTGTCATGATTTATTTAACGGAAATAAAGCCAAAATGGGAAAAACCATGTGGGAAAAACTAAGCACACCCTTACTGCTTTCACAGTAATTAAGCCCTCGCTTTATTGGCCGAGGGAGCCGGAGTACAGATTCCGGGTCATGTGGCCAGCAGGACTAAGCCGCTTCTGGCAAAACAGAGCAGCGCATGGAAACGCCGTTTACCTTCCCACCGGAGTGGTATCTATTTATCTACTTGCACTTTGTGCTTTTGAACTGCTAGGTTGGCAGTTGAGGGACCGAGCAGCGGTGCCCACCCCATCGCGGTGATCCGAACCGCCTGACCTTCTGATCAGCAAGTCCTAGGTCCTGGGAGAAACCACAGCGCCACTCCGCCTCTTTGCCCTTGAGCCTCTGCAGCTCAGAGAGGCCAGGTGAGTCTACTGGACCACTTCTGGGGCAGACTCACTGGTCGCCTGACAGTGTCTGCTGGTTAGAGACGCACCTGCAGGCAATACGTCCTTCCATCTGCTCTCCGGAGCCAGAGTGATTCAACTGGTGCCTGCTCCTGACGGATCCGGCACCTAGGTGCAGGCTGCATCAGAATCAAGGCCCTGCCCCAGCTCAGCCAGGTCCTGGCAGGAGCAGGGACCTGTGCAGGCTGGAGCTCACTCCAGTGTCGGGCCTCTGAATCGCGATCTTCCAGGCCATCACACCTAGGCTCTGTGGTTTAACCCACAGCGCCACCCACGTCCCTAGTATTAAGTTCCGCACCCCAAAATGAGATGCCCTGCGCCAGCCACCCTGGCAGAGCGGGTGCTGGCCTGCCCCCGGCAAGAGCCCCCGGTACCTCGGTGGTTCTCGCAGTCGATCTTCAGCCATACTTTCCAGCGTTTCCCATGGCTCAAGGGCCTCTTCTTCAGGAGGGACAGCGCCGCGTGGCTGTCCACGAGGACATGGAAAGCATCCAGCCTCTCGGCCAAGGCTGCACACTCTTCCACCTTGTCAAAAGGCAGAGGGTAGGCGTAGAGGATGTCGTCAAAGCCGCCATCAGCGAAGAATCGGCCCTCAGCCAACGTGGACACCACAATCTTCCTCAGGGTGCCTCCGGTCACGAGACTTCCGCCCTCCCTGAGGGAAGAACGCAGTTACGATTATTATATACAGTGGTACCTCGGGTTAAGTACTTAATTCGTTCCGGAGGTCCGTACTTAACCTGAAACTGTTCTTAACCTGAAGCACCACTTTAGCTAATGGGGCCTCCCGCTGCCGCTGCGCCACCGGAGCACGATTTCTGTTCTCATCCTGAAGCAAAACTTCTTAACCTGAATCACTATTTCTGGGTTAGCGGAGTATGTAACTTGAAGCGTATGTAACCTGAAGCGTATGTAACCTGAAGCGTATGTAACCTGAGGTACCACTGTATATTCATTTCCCCCCTATAATTTTTACAATATGAAGTACAGGGGTTCCTTGGTTCTCAAACGCCTTGGTACTCAAACAACTTGGAACCCAAACACTGCAAACCCGGAAGTGTTCCGGTCTGCAAACATTTTTTGGAAGCCGAATGTGCTCCGTTTTGAGTCTTACGCTTCCGATTTGAGTGCCACACTTCCATTTTGAGTGTTATGCAGAGGTCTGTCTGTTTTTCCTCTTTATTTTGCGTTTTTTGTGGCTATTTTTCGTTTTGTTTTTGTGACTGTGTGGAGCCCAGTTCAGCTACTGATGGATTGATTGTGTGACTGCAGTACAGTGGTACCTCAGGTTACCTACGCTTCAGGTTACAGACTCCGCTAACCCAGAAATAGTGATTCAGGTTAAGAACTTTGCTTCAGGGTGAGAACAGAAATCGTGCGGCGGCAGCGAAAGGCCCCATTAGCTAAAGTGGTGCTTCAGGTTAAGAACAGTTTCAGGTTAAGAACGGACCTCCGGAACGAATTAAGTACTTAACCCGAGGTACCACTGTACATTGTTTATTGCTTTCATTTTATGGATCAATAGTCTTGTTAGAGAGTAAAATCCATGTGAAATTGCTGTTTTAGGGGTTGTTTTTAAAAGTCTGGAATGGATTAATCCGTTTTGCATTACTTTCTATGGGAAACCATGCCTTGGTTTTGGAACGCTTTGGTTTTGGAACGGACTTCCAAAACGGATTAAGTTTGAGAACCAAGGTACTACTGTACTCGTTTTTACATCCTTAAGGTATCAGTGGCTTCCCTTCTACTCTTCCCATGCATACTCCACGCACACTCCCGAGCAGCCCCGGGCCCTGGCAACCCACATTACGCCACGGCCAAAGCACATAGACTGGATCTGCAAAGCCGTAAAGGCTTTTCTCTGTCGAAATTGACCAGGAAGATTAGACACCAAGAAGACAAAATTTTTAGAAATGAATGGATTAACTTTACAGAATATATGAAGCGGCATTGCAAACATTTAAAAACGTTGGTAGGTTTGGATTAGCACTTGTAATATAATTTGATAAAGGGTATTGAAAAAGGAGACTAGATTGGATAAATGGATAGAAATGCAATAAATCCTTGGGAATTTCCTTCTCAGGCGGCAACACAACGCGGAACCTATCTTTTCTCCTACGCATGAGAGACCAATTACCGAGTCATTTCGGGAAACCCAGACAAGGAATCCACAGGCTGCTCAGTCCCCCAGCAGATTAGCAAAATGTGGAACAGATCTGGCGAGCTCAAGATACAAAATTCCTGCAAAAAAGCAAGGGGCAGGGTGGCGGTGGCCTTTGGGCTATAAAAGGATGATTATAAACAAATGATAGGGTAATACGCGAAGATTGGGAGGCAAACTTTACAAAATTTGGAGCAGATTTCAAGCCGTAGGTGCGGGATTTCGATATCCGGTTCCTTTTTCAGGATTCGGAATTCGATTTACAGTGGTGCGTTAGTTCTCAAGCTTAATTCATTCCGGAAGTCCGTTCCAAAACCAAAGCGTTCCAAAACCAAGGCACGCTGTAATGCGAAACGGATTAATCCGTTCCAGATTTTTTAAAACCACTAAAACAGAAATTTAACATGGATTTTACAATCTAACGAGACCACTGATCCATAAAATGAAAGCAATAAACAATGTATTGCAGTCACACAATCAATCAATCAATCAGTAGCTGAACTGAGTTCCACACAATCACAAAAACAAAACGAAAAAGAGCCACAAAAACACAAAATACATAGCAAAAACAGGCAGACCTCAGCATAACACTCAAAATGGAAGCGTGACACCCAAATCGGAAGCGTAACACTCCAAACGGAGCACGTTTGGCTTCCAAAAAAATTTCGCAAACCGGAACACATACTTCCGGGTTTGCAGTGTTTGTGTTCCAAGTTGCTTGAGTACCAAGGCGTTTGAGAACCAAGGTACCACAAAAATGGAAGCAAGAAGAATTACTGACAAAAGAAGAATGGAGGATGAAATTGATGGACTATGCAGAATTGGATAAACTAACCGGCAGAATTCGAAACCTGTGGGGCCAGAGATTCACAGAAGACTGGTGTAAATTTACGTACTATTTGAAAAGTAATTGTGATGACCAGATTACGTTTGTAGATTTGCAAGAAGTTTTGTGAGGTAAATTGTGAGCTAGACTGGTGACTGGGAGTGGCCGCCGGGACCACATAACACCGGTTCTGAGAGATCTGCATTGGCTCCCAGTACGTTTCCGAGCACGATTCAAAGTGTTGGTGCTGACCTTTAAAGCCCTAAACGGCCTCGGTCCTGTATACCTGAAGGAGCGTCTCCACCCCTATCGTTCTGCCCGGACACTGAGATCCAGCACCGAGGGCCTTCTGGCGGTTCCCTCATTGCGAGAAGTGAGGCTACAGGGAACCAGACAGAGGGCCTTCTCGGTAGTGGCGCCCGCCCTGTGGAACGCCCTCCCATCAGATGTCAAAAAGATAAATAATTACCTGACATTCAGAAGACATCTTAAGGCAGCCCTGTTCAGGGAAGTTTTTAATATGTAACACTGTACTGTTTTTAACACTGATTGGGAGCCGCCCAGAGTGGCTGGGGAAACTCAGCCAGATGGGCGGGGTATAAATAATAAATTATTATTATTATTATTATTATTATTAATTATTTGAAGTATTGCAAAAATGGTTAAAGAGGTGGATTGTGAGTTAAGATAATTAAAGGCAATAGAATTTAAGAAATGCAGAAGAAATGATAAAAATGGTGGATCATCAGAGTCCAAAAAGATTGTATAAGATGTGAAGTTCTGTGGAATGCATAATAATTGGTATGTTGAAATTAATAAAAATTATATATATAAAGAGAACCAAGGTACCACTGTACTAGACCTGCCAAATTGCAAGCAAGATGGTCATATGATCTCTTTCTCTGCCCCTCCTGTAATTTATTATTACAATCCAACATGGCGCCACTTACAGCGTTTTGTGGGTTTTCATGTGAGGCCTCAAGACCACGCCCAGGGCCTTGCAGCGGTCCCTCATCTTCTCGGCGTTCCTCTTTGCCGTGTCCAGGTCCACGGTGAACGCCGGGCTCGGCAGCTCTTCCACGGGTCTCCCAGTCCACATCTGTCAGGAGGAGAAACTTGGCAGAAGACCCACAAGGATGCTTAAAGGTAAAGGTAAAGGGACCCCTGACCATTAGGTCCAGTTGCGGACGACTCTGGGGTTGCGGCGCTCATCTCGCTTTACTGGCCGAGGGAGCCGGCGTACAGCTTCTGGGTCATGTGGCCAGCAGGACTGAGCCGCTTCTGGCGAACCAGAGCAGCACATGGAAATGCCATTTACCTTCCCGCCGGAGTGGTACCTATTTATCTACTTGCACTTTGACGTGCTTTCAAACTGCTAGGTTGGCAGGAGCAGGGACCGAGCAACGGGAGCTCACTCCGTTGCGGGGATTCAAACCGCCGACCTTCTGATCAGCAAGCCCTAGGCTCTGTGGTTTAACCCACAGCGCAGCACCCAAATGGAAAGCTCAGCTGGTGCTATCAGAGCGTGGTGGCAATAACCCCAAGGTTGCAGCTATCACCAGATCCTGGTTTAATGTCTGACCTGCCTGCCATTGGCCAGAGCCTCCGTCCTGACATGCAAGGTCTAAACCCAGAGCTGGGAATTGTTGGCCATCCAGGTGATGTGGAACTACAACTCCCATCAGCCCTAGCAGGCATGGCTAGTGGTCACAGATGATGGGAGCTGTAGTTCAGCAGAATCAGCCTGCATAGCTTAGAGCAGCGGTTCTCAACCTGTGCGTGCCCAGATGTTGTTGGACTACAACTCCCATCATCCCTGAGCTCTGGCTTTGCTAGCTAGGGGTGATGGGAGTTGTAGTTGAACCACATCTGGGGACCCGCGGGTTGAGAAAGGCTGGCTTAGAGCGTGGTGCTGATAACGACAAGGTTGCAGGTTTGATCCCATTCCGGACAGCTGCATATTCCTGCATTGCAGAGGTCCTGTTAGCTAGGGATGATGGGAATTGTAGTCCCAAAACCGCCGGAGGGCCAAGTTTGGCCATCACTGATCTAATCAATGCAAACCTGCGGCAATGCAGCAATCTTTTGCCCAATGTAGCCTATTAGCCACTGGGCAACCCAGCCAGATGGGCAGGCTATAAATAATAAAATTATAATTATAATTATGTTGGGTGCCCACCAACTCGTCTCCTCCTCCTTGGGAGACAAGAGATGCATCCGTATCATCTCGTGTCTCTGATCTTTGAGAAGACACAAAAATCTTATCGGAAAACTCTCCTGATGATCTTGTTCTCTGAACCCCAGTGCAAAGGGCACGAAAGAACAGTGGCAAGAAAAATTGATGACTTATGCAGAACTGGCTAAATTGCGAGACAAGGACAACTGTGACTTTAAGGAAAAATGGGCGCTTTTTACAAATTATCTAAAAAGACAACAAAATGAACTGGTCCCCTTGGCAGGCTTTGAATAAACACACACAAATTTATTGGTTGATGACATGATAGATAGATAATGTAAGGATATGTACAAGTTTATAACATGCAGAGAATAATATGTGCTATGAAATCAGAGAAAGGATCTGAGGGAAGTCTGGGGGGAGGGTTTGATGGGGGGAAAGGGAGGGGGAATAATGAATATGGTATATTTTGAGATTTTTGTTCTGCTGAAATTGTTAATAAAAATATTTTAAAAACAAAAACAAAGGACAGGAAGGGATCTTGAAAGCACAGAGGCCAAGAGAGCGGTCAGGCAGCGCAATAGTATTCTTGGCTACTTCGGGGAACAGACAATTTTGCATTTGAGGCTCGATGAAAGGGAAGGGAAATTTATCCGTCTGCAACAAGAAATGGAAGGTTTTCTTTTAACCTGCCGGCCTGTCTTGAGACACTTAAGGAAACGGAATGAAATCTTAATTTGGAAAGAATAAGTGTACCTCTTAGCAGAGTTGCCTTTCGCTCAGATCCAGCTGCTCTTAAATTGGAGTAAAGTCCACTTTTGCAGCACAGAGACAGCTGGTGGCTGAGGTCATATGACATGGGGGCGGGACATTAGGGGGGTGTTGGCTGAGCCGGGAACCCCATTGGCTTAGCCAAATAGGGTGCAAGAACCACCTCTGCTTCCTATTGAATTAACCGCTTGCCACTCCAAAAACAAAACACAAAACCCGACGTAAGTTCATGCAAAAAAGCAGCTCTAACGCTTGCATGTCTGTGCACGGGTCAAAAGACATTTTGCAAAACCCAAGAAAGAAAAAGGACTTTGTTTTTGTTTTTTTAAATGAGGAAATGTTTAATGCAAAGTTTGCAAGCTTTGTGTATAGGTTTTTACATTAGTTGAACTTCTAAAGTTCACTTGATACAACAACATGAATAAGGTTTCAAAATTGGACGGTTAAGAATATAAGATTTTACAGACATGCATGAATAAGTATATAATAATGGAATCAGGAGGGGGAGTGGAGGGAAGTCAATTAAGATGCATTATTTAAATTTTTGATGATGGTGTTCTTTTTATTATTATTATAAAATTAATAAATTGTAGCTTTGCACAAATGGCTTAGGATATTTAATTTGGGTCCTTTTTCTTCTGCTGCTGCTATCAGTGCGACTGAGTTTAGTGCCTCCATAAGTCTGACGAGGAGGACTGTGGTTTCCGAAAGCTTGTGCCACTACAACCAACACATGAGGCTTTAAGGTGTCGCAAGAGTCTTATATAAAACAAAGAGACTTGTTGTGGGGATGCAATAGAAAAATAGCACCCTTGTGCAAGATTGTGCAAGAGGAAACATCTGCTGACTTGTTCACCCCACACGCCTGGGTCACTGTCGCGCTGCCTAACCGCAAAGCTTACGCGGCTGTCATGCTGTCTGGAGTTATGTCCTGGTAGAGAATAGTTATTCTAAGAAATGCAAACCCTAGCTGTTTTCCACCTGAGTGCTACACGTGTATATGCAACATGATGTAATGTGCGCAAGGCTAATAAACATGCAAGGCTGCTGGGAGAGAGAGCTCACTCCTTGCTTAAACCTTCACCCATGACTCTTCGTCATTTTCCTCCGCACCTGGTGGGCTGGTTCCCCGACAACTTGTGTCACCTTAAACTGTATAAAAATCATACAGCCGTGCCCCTGATGCTGTATAAAGTTTTAGTGAATGGTGCCGCTCAAATTGCTTGAAAATCTTCGTCGTTATATCTTTCTTCTGGTTATCCTTTTCATAAAGTTTCAAGTCGCCTCAGGGAGGGTCTCTTGCAAAGAAACAAATAAATTATGACAGTTTTGGGGTGAATGCAAAGCCCCCATAGATAGCGGGGATGCCTAGAAGGCTGCCAACTTTTTCCAAAGAAGATTGGCAAGTTAAATTAAAGGAATATGCTGAAATGGCAAAATTGATAATGAGACTAAGAGGAAGAGACGACAATGAATTTCAAGAAGATTGGAAGGATTTTATTGCATATACAGTGGTACCCCGGGTTACATACGCTTCAGGTTACATACGCTTCAGGTTACAGACTCCGCTAACTCAGAAATAGTACCTCGGGTTAAGAACTTTGCTTCAGGATGAGAACAGAAATCGTGCTCCGGCGGCGCGGCGGCAGCAGGAGGCCCCATTAGCTAAAGTGGTGCTTCAGGTTAAGAACAGTTTCAGGTTAAGAACAGACCTCCGGAACGAATTAAGTACTTAACCCGAGGTACCACTGTAGTGATGTATGGAAGTGAGAGCTGGACCATAAAGAAGGCTGATCGCCGAAGAATGGATGCTTTTGAATTATGGTGCTGGAGGAGACTCTTGAGAGTCCCATGGACTGCAAGAAGATCAAACCTATCCATTCTGAAGGAAATCAGCCCTGAGTGCTCACGGGAAGGACAGATCCTGAAGCTGAGGCTCCAAGACTTGGGCCACCTCAGGAGAAGAGAAGACTCCCTGGAAAAGACCCTGATGTTGGGAAAGATGGAGGGCACAAGGAGAAGGGGACACAGAGGACGAGATGGTTAGATGGTGTTCTCAAAGGTACCAGCATGAGTTTGACCAAACTGCGGGAGGCAGTGGAAGACAGGAGGGCCTGGCGTGCTCTGGTCCAGGGGGTCACGAAGAGGCGGACACGACTAAACGACTAAACAACAAAGAACTACTTGTAATTTTGTTATGAATGGACCATAAGTAATTTTAATGGTTTTTAAATTTACAGTGGACATGTGGTATGTTGAAAAATAATGGAGCCAAGGGACTAGGGGGGAAGTCAGTTTTTTGGTTTGGTTTTGAATTTGTATTGTTGTTTTATTTTTGTTATTTTTGGAAAATTAATAAAAATACTCCATAAAAATAGAAGGTTGCCAACTTTCTCAGCGGCCCCTGCTCCTCTGCCCTCCCTTCTCCAGCATCCTGCTGCTCGCCAGCATCACCAAAGCCTCCTAGTTTGCTCCCCTTAATTAAAAAATATTGCAGGATCTCGCCCCCCCCCGCCCCAATATATTCATCCCAGGGCTTCTGCAATCCCCAGCTCTTCACAGTGCATGCCGGGCAGGATGGGGTTAACTCTGCCTTCAGCTGAGATTGCAGAACGAGGCTGTCGAGAGAAAGAGCCGATTGCGCCCGACCGCGCAACTTCCGCGCCTCGTCCCGGGAGGAGAGCCGCAGAGCTGCTCCGGACCGGGAGCACTTAATGGTCGCGCATGCGCGAGCTGGCCCCGTCCGCCGGCGTTTATTCTTGTGGTGGCTGTCTCGCCCGCGCGCCGTTCTTTTCTAAGGGATGACTGCGCAGCGCCACCTGCCGGCAGGAGCGAGGAGAGCACAGGCTCGTTCCGCCTCTCTGACCTCCGCTGCAACCCGGGGCAAGTTCTGGGATTTTGCAGTGCAGAGCGCAAAATAAAATAAAATAGAATAAAATAAAATAATGCACGGTGAGCGGTTTTTTGCAGCTCTTGCACGGTTGCAATTGCGGAGGAAAGGCGTTCTGCAGCTGCAAAGCCCCGTTGCAAGTCCCAGCATTTTCCTGCCTGCAAGATTTGGCAGGAGAGAGGGAGAGAAAGCAAAGGAGATCCATTTCTCCCCGGGCAGGCAGCTCCGGGAGGCAGCAGGAGCAGGAAAGAAGAGCTGGGCGGGATGCAAACTCTTGCAAAGGCGGAGTCAGGACCAGAAAAGGGCCATTGAAAGCCCTTCTGCCGCCTACAGCCACACCACCCTGAATGCACCCGATCCCGTCCGATCTCGGAAGTTAAGCAGGGTCGGGCCTGGTTAGTACTTGGATGGGATTCCGCCTGGGAATACTGGGTGCGGTAGGCATTTTTGCAATTTCCCCTTTTGCAACTCAGACCGAGGAATCCCCTCTTTTTTATCAAAGGCCACAGGCTTCTGCCTTGAAAGGCACATTTGATGCAAAGAAATTCTCTCCCTTCCGTCTCACAATTTCCCCTGAAATTGCAGCCAGTTACACCGAATGGGAAATTCATGCATGGGAAAAATCAGCAACAAATCTCCCTTTTAAGGTGTCAGAACTGTCTTTGGATTTTGGGGGAAAAAAGAGATGGTTCCTGAGCTCTGAGATGGGAAAGTCGAAGTGACAATTTATGGGAGCAAAAGCAAGATTCCCAACATACATGGCATTTCCAGGTGGTCTTTATCAAAGGACAGACCTGACCCTGCTTAACTTCCAAAATTAAATGGCACCCAATGACATAGCTCTAGATGCAGCTGCTGTTTGTAGGCTTCCAGAACTGTCAATTTTATATTTTTTATTTTTGCATTTCCACTTCCATTTTTCCAAAAATCTGCGGGCCTCTGAGTCACCTGGAAAGGCAGATTGGATGCCTAAAGTTGCAACCTGATTTTTTTCACATGCATGCACCCCGCATTCCAGATGCACGCAAGGAGGTGGGCTTCCTAACCTGTCTGCAATTTAGGAGAAATTGTGAGATGGGGTGAGACGATCACCCTTGAATGAGGATGCAGTTGCTCAGGTGCTCACCTGGAGAGCTTTTTCGCACCCCAAGCCCAAGCTTGCGGAGCTGCACGTGAGATTCCCAGAGACATCTTGCTGCCTGCTGCATGTCTGAACCTAGAGCCACGTGTTTCTGCACAAACAGGCCGCAGGAACCATTTCCTTGCTCCAAAAGTGTTAAGCTGCTGGAGCTCCCAGCTGCCTTTTCAATCTCTGGCTCTGCTTTTACAATATGGACATTAAACCGGGCGATTGCTTCTTTCTTTCCCAAATCTGCCTGCCTCTGAGCACTGTGGCTTTACATGGGACATTGTGACGTGGGCCCCAAAGCAGGGCCACAAACCTGAAACAGATCAGGAACTGTGGAAATGCATGATTCACTTCGATGGGAACTTATGTAGGTAACCCTCCAGGAAGAGGGTGCCCTTAAATACAGCCTTTGTCAACCTGGTACCTTCCCAAAAAATTGGACTACCACTTCCATCAGGCTGTGCTGGTTGAACCTGATGGGAGTTGTAGTCCTGAAGGGACAGGATACCCAAATCCTGTCTGTGAAGTCACCCCGAAGTCACCCCAGGCCTCAAAACCAAATTTCCCCTTTCTTCTAAAACAGCTTTTCTCTGCTCTTCTCTGCTTTCTCACAAGATGCTGGTTCTCACAAGATCTTGGACACGCTGAACCGCAAGGCTCCTCAACCCCCTTGGCTTCTCATCCCCCTTTCCTGGGAAGGTCGCCAAGAGTCCCAAAGACAGGAGCTTTCTGTTCATTCTCAGGAAACTCATCACGGGGCAGGGCTCCTGAGGAGGAGGAGAAAGGGGAGGGAACTGGAGGGGAATATATGCTCTGTGCAAATGACTGTGAACTTGTGCTAAGCTTGTGAGTTATCATGCTTGCTCCTTCTACCAGCCCGGATGGTAGAAATAAAGCTCTTTCTCTGAAATTATTCCTTGAGTGTCTGTTTGACTCCCATTTCCCTGTCCTGGGCGCAACGCTCTTGCCACCCGAGGGCAAAGCCTCATAAGGCTACAGTCCAAAGCATCCAGAGGACACCAGGTTGGCAATGACTGCCTTAATCTCTCAGGACTCGGAAGGAACAGCGAGAGCCGGACCAAAAGAACTCACAGGCCGCGCTTGTTTCTTTTCAAAGTTTATTCAAAGTCACGTGAACAGGATACCATCAAGTCTGTGGGGCAGGCCCAGTACAGCTCAAGGCAAGTAGTCATTTTCAGGTTTAAGGCATATTTATATTAAAAAATAATAATAATCGGAAGTTCAGATTGTGCTTTTATTTCCTTTTTCGGAAAGAAGAACCGTGGACAGATCCTTGGATTTGCTGCGTTTTCCTGAGAGTAGATAGCCCAATGTGGATTTGTCCTTGTCCCTACCATCTTCCCCAAATGGAAACATTTAATTTTTTTGCTCTCATGCTAGAAAGTAAAAGGACAATTCGTGTGTCCCTCTAGGCACTTCCATAGCACTGAACGCCAAGAAGAAGACCAAAAAAGCACCGATGGAGCCGATCCCTGTCTATTTGCTGTGTGCCGTTAAGTTTCGCCAGTGAAAACAGGTGCAAATCTACCTTTACGTTTACCTTCATATTAGTTGTGAAAAAGCAGCTACGGGCACAGCGCTTTAGGAATCGGACCAGGGGCTAGAAACTTTGCATTATGTTATAATAAAGAGTTCCATTTCCCCTCCCAGGTCTCTCATCTGCTCTCCGCCGACCTCTCTGTGTAAATCATCTCCAATTGCACACCGGAAGGAAAAACTTAAGATGGGGAAAAGCCTGGCCGGTTGCATGCTGACATTAAAGAAGAGTAAGGCATATTGCAAGTGCTCCAGATGTGGAACTGCTGTGTTTACCAGTCACCGCAGTCCTTCAGGTGGAGGTCTGTATAGTTGCACAAACGGACAGGAGGTTTTGGGGCAGATTTCCCCCAAGCTGGTGGAGTGGACTACAACTCCCATCAGCTGCGGGAGCTGCGGTCTAGTAACATCACGATGGCGCCAGTCTGTTCCAGAGCTGGGACCACCAGCCTTTCCTTGGGCTGTCGCCAAGCGCTCCGGCCGAGTTGCGAGAAAAACCTCAGCAACTGGAAAGGTGGGAACAGGGGCGACGGCGGCGATAAGGCTTTGGGGCATGCACAGAGCGCCCCTTGGAAAATGGGGTCCGTTTTCTGCCTCGGCTGATGGCAAGAGCCGCTCTGACAGGGACCCCAAGCTAAAACTGGTCCTTCTTCCAGAAATCCTGCTATGCAAACAGATCCCCAGGTGGGAAACAGACAAAGCCACTTAGACAAAGCTCAGTGTTTGTTTCCCCCCGTTTTGCTGCTTTTCCCTTCTGCATTGAGTGTGACTTGGTTAGGGACGCAATCCAGCAGCCATAGGAAGAGGTTCCTCAAAGCCGCCCTCGTTCAACCTCTATTATGAACCCGTTCCAGCTGGGGAGCCCTGGTGTTGTCCCATTCGGAAGCGTGAAAACACAGAATTTCAAAGACACACACGTGCAAAATGCAAAACAGACACTCGATTGGGAGCTGCCTAGAGAGGCTGGGGAAACTCAGCCAGATGGGCGGGGTATAAATAATAAATTATTTATTATTGTTATTATTATTTATCCCCCCTAAAGCCAGGAGATTGCAAGGTCAAAGCGAGGAGGTAATAAAGACCTCTCCGGTGAAACGTTTGCTACGCCTTGGGAAGGTGAGGAGAGCTCCTTAAATCCTCAATTGAAACAAAAGGACAAATCCACATGGAGAAACTTCAGAGGTGTTTTGAGTCTTGCTCTCTCCAAGCCAGCAGGATCTAAGAAAACAGATAACCCCCCCCCCAATCCGCTTTAAATACAAAAAAATAGAAAAGTTTGGATCAACATTATTCATAAAAGATACAAAACCTGTGTGTGTATATATATATGTACACAGAAAACAGAACAATTGTGGGATTTTGGGGGGTAGGGGAGTCTTTTTTGCCAAAAAAGAGAGCGCGGATATTGCACTTTGTGGAATTTGGTCTTCACCCAGGAATTATTATTTTTGGAAGAGGTCGATGGGGAGGTGGGTGGGAGAAATCGAAGGCGGCTTTTGCTTTTAGAGCGCAGGTCTTCCCTTTACGAATGAAGGGGGGCAAGTGCCTATTGCAGCCGCCGGGTGCCCTCCAAATGTTTCGGACTACAACTCCCATGAGGTTCGGCACTGGCTGGTCCTGATGGGAGTTGTAGTCCGAGACGTTTGAAACCGCCCAGTGGCCTGTTGTACGAATGCAAACTGCTCCTCTGTTGAACCTGGAACTCAGATGGGACAAGGCAAGTTGACGGGTCGTAGGCGGAGAATTCTGCAAGACTCTGCTATTCCTCACCTGGAATATTCACCCTGCCGGAAGGAACCCCAACGATGCCCGCATTCTGCCATCTTTCTCCTTTCCCCACGGTGCTGGTAGGAAGGCGACAGACAATGGAGTCTGCGGAGAAGGGGCCGCCAGTCCAGCCGACCGCAGCCGTTTCCCCCTGCCCCTGTCGTAACGGCCGGTGGGGAGGAAACATGTGAACCTCCGCAGCAAAAAGCACAACGCAGTTGCTCACGGGGGCAAAGAGAAAGATGGACTTGTTTCCCCACTGAGAACCTTCTAACAGAACCGAGGATCTACTGTGCGCAGGAGAGTCGTGGCGGAGCGTTATCTGCACGGCGGTGTGCCAAGAAGCGGCGCAGCTGCGCAGAGATGGGAAATTTGGGGCTCGGGTTTCCTCTCCCGACTTTCTGCAAATGCAGAGAACCCCAAAGAGATGGGGCCAAGTCGTCAGGTCTGCCCTCCCCACTTAGTGCTTTTGCTAGACTTCTACAGGACTGGCAACTAGTTTTTCAAAACAGGGGCAATCGCAGAAGTGTGGCAGTGCTGCCCACTAAGGGGAAAGGCCAGCGTTGTTATTTTTTTCTGGTGCTGAATCACCAGGGGGGTGGACTGGATGATCCTTGAGGTCCCCCCTTCCAACTCTCCAGCCCACAACGACTCCCCTGAACCCACCCTACTCCTTGCGTCCTCTGGGAAGGCAGAATTTGCAGCACACGGGTTATTCTCCCAAGGTTCTCACCCGGCCAAAGTCCTGTTGTTGTTTTTTAAAAGCTGGACCCCAAGGGGAACTTGCTGCTGGTGACATCAGCTTCCACCAGCCTGGTGCCCCCCTCCAAATGTTTTGGGTTGGGCCTGATGGGAGCTGCGAGCCAAAATACCTGGTGCCAACCGGACTGGCTTTTTATGCTTGTGTGAAGCTGATGGGAGGCTTCCTGCTAACACCAGGCAAGTCACCGATTTTAGAGTTAAACCCAAACCTGTTTTCTCCTCCTATCCACTGCCCCAGTCCACCAAGATAAGGAGCTGAAGCCCAGACCGATATCTAGGGGTTGGTGAATAGAATAAAAAGCACCAAGGTCTCAAAATTTTGTTGCAACTGGTTAAGGGGAGAGTTGGGGAACGGTGTCTGAACCACACACCTTTCAAACTGGCACAAAAACAAAAGCCCTGGATGATTCGCCTTGAGGGTTGATACAAAGGTAGCTGTAAAAGTAAAAACCAACCTTCAACACTGAGCAGGTTTGGTGCTTATAAGAGAAAGCACCTTAGGGTGCAGGTCAGAGTCACCAGCAGACCTCAGCCAGCTCCTTCGAAGGCTTTTCAATGTTTGACCGGTGACGGTAAAGGGAGCGTGGGCTCCTTAAGAGAGGAGCGCTGGGCTTGTTCCAAGGGGGGGAGAGCAAGAGGTCGCAAGCAGTGGGTCAGCCGGAGGGCTAGAAGGCCAGGAATCTCACCTCTGTGGGACCAGAAGACTGCAGGGATGTTTTCTGATTATGCTTAGCAGAGGCCGCCGGAAACTAAGGCTTACTGGGTAAAAAGTTGGGGTGAAGACACAGAGGTTTACCAAATGGCAGGGTTTTATTGCTGGTGAAGACACTTGCGGGACCCTAAGCCAGCCGTGTGCAGTAAGATTACAGACATCCTGTTGCTCTGCTCCTTGCCCACCCACATTCCACCAATACGACCCCCTCAACTTGGGGGTCACCGGTACCAAGCCATCCAGTTTCCAGAGCGAGTGGGGCTTTGGGGAGGGCCCCCCTCGCCTCCTCCTTCCCTTTTTCCAAACCAGAGGGTAGGTTTAGGGCAGGCACCCCCAAACTCGGCCCTCCACCTGTTTTGGGACTACAAATCCCATCATCCCTGACCGCCGGTCCTGTTAGCTAGGGATGATGGGAGTTGTAGTCCCAAAACAGCTGGAGGGCTGAGTTTGGGGGTGCCTGGTTTAGGGGGTCGGGGTAGGACGTGCCGAGCTTAATGCTTTGCGGGTTTGCTGCTCTGCCAGAGTTCTTTGCCGGCCATTACAGCTTTCTCTCTTGAGAGCAAGAGGACAAAACTCCCGCCTGAGCGAGGGAGAAGCAAGTTTCTCGACGTAGTGCAACGAAAACGGGTCCTTTTAAGGCCGTCGGAGAAAGACCAGACCGCAGTCTTGAGGCTGGTGCGTCTATTGCGTTTCTGTCCCCCCAAACTGCCAAGGACCGGGGGGAAGCGGATAAGGTATTCTCCCCACCCACCCCAATTCCAGTCCTCTGTCTCTTTTTCCCGGTGTGACAACCGTGTCACACAATTGCCCCTTCAAGCGCCGCAGGAATCGAGTGCTTCGGTCAGGGAAACGAGGAGCAGCCGGATGGGCTCTGGGAAGCCCTTTTCCCCGCAATTGTTCTGTGCGCGCCGTCCCCGGAAGGCTGCTCCAGGTGTGTTAAGAGACCTCCGACTTGCAGGTGAGTCCCTGAGGAAGTTTGTTTTCCTCCTCCTTCTTCTTCCACGCAGGGGAACTCTGCGGATCGCGACGCTCCGGGGACAATGCAAAGAGGCCTCCGGGCAGCGGAAGACGCCCCCAAAGCGGGTGAGGGTGGGCAGATCCCGTGTCCCGCCGTGGCTGCGAGGCTACAGGTGAAAGCCGACCCGAACTGCTTACTTGGACTCCGCGGGGTTGTATTCTGTCTCCCCGGACGACACCTGGGAGATGCGCCGCGTCGAACGCCACAGCCGCCTGTGGAACTGCCCCGACTTCACCTGCAGGCAGAAGGCAGACCGGGAAGTGGGGAATTAGTTTATTATTATTATTATTATTATTATTATTATTAGTGTTATCAGAGTTCTAAGGTCTCAAATATAAATTAAACGTTCATAAATGTACAAGGCAAACACATACATAGGTACAGTGGTGCCCCACAAAACGAATGCCTCGCAAGACGGAAAACCCGCTAGACGAAAGGGTTTTCCGTTTTTGAGTTGCTTCGCAGGACAAATTTCCCTATGGGCTTGCTTCGCAAGACGAAAATGTCTTGCGAGTCTTGAGTTTTTCTCTTAACACCGTTAATACAGCTGCGACTTGACTTCGAGGAGCAACTCATAGCACGCGTGTAGTAGCCTTTTTGAGGTTTTAAAGACTTTGTTGATTTTAAGCTTTTCCAATAGCTTCTATAGCCAGCTAATAGCGCTAATCTGTTAAACCGCTTTTGAGGGTTTGGACTTTGGGCTAAGTGCTTGGAATCAAGGACCTGGTGCTGGGGAGGGTCTGAAGACACTCGTGGAGCTTGTGTGTATTTTCTGCATTTTATGATTTTCTGTGACCATTGGGCAACTCTGCTGTTTATAAAACCATTCTGAGTCTGAATTTTGAAATGCTCTTACAGTATGTGCAACTTCAGAAGCCACTTAATGAACTCTTCGTACCAAATTTGGACCTTAAATATTTTTCTGACGCATGAGGAACGGAAATGGGATTGTCACTCGCATTCCTATGGGATCTGTTTTGCTATGACAAATCGCTAGTCTAAAAATTCGTGGAATGAATTAATTTCGTCTTGCGAGGCACCACTGTATCTGGATTCAGGAACCGAGTATTTACCATCACAAAAGAATGGCCAGGATGCCCAGGTGAAAGCAATCAGTGACCATTATCAGGTATCCTGGCAGGCAAGATTTCTGCTGTAGACCTCCTTCTGTGATTATGTACAGCGGTACCTCGAGTTAAGAACTTAATTCGTTTCTGGAGGTCTGTTCTTAACCTGAAACTGTTCTTAACCTGAGGTACCACTTTAGCGAATGGGGCCTCCCACTGCCGCTGCATGATTTCTGTTCTCATCCTGAAGCAAAGTTCTTAACCCGAGGTACTATTTCTGGGTTAGCGGAGTCTGTAACCTGAAGCATCTGTAACCCGAGGTACCACTGTATGATGTTTCAGTGGGGGTGGTCCCAGGGGTCAGCAAACTTTTTCAGCAGGGGGCCGGTCCACTATCCCTCAGACCTTGTGGGGGGCCGGACTATATTTTTTTTGGGGGGGGGGGGAATGAACAAATTCCTATGTCCCACAAATAACCCAGAGATGCATTTTAAATAAAAGGACACATTCTACTCATGTAAAAACACGCTGATTCCCGGAACGTGCGTGGATTTAGAAGGCAATTGGGCCAGATCCGGCCCCCGGGCCTTAGTTTGCCTGCCCATAGGCTACAGGGTGGGCAATTTCTAAAGTCTATATAAGGGCTTGCGCGCCATTGATCAGGGTTCCTCCTCCCTCCTGCGTGTGGTGAGTAAGGACCCTGTTGCAACAGTTTACTAAAGATCAGGCTTACTAGCTGCTTTGCTTCTCAATATACAGTGGTACCTCGAGTTACATACACTTCAGGTTACAGACTCTCCTAACCCAGAAATATTACCTCGGGTTAAGAACTCTGCTTCAAGATGAGAACAGAAATTGCAAGCCCATTAGCTACAGTGGTACCTCAGGTTAAGAACAGACCTCCAGAATGAATTAAGTACCGTATTTTTCGCACCATAGGACGCACCGGACAATAGGACGCACTTTGTTTTAGAGAGGGGAGAACAAGAAAGGAATTTTTCCCTCTCTGCCCAGCGCCCTTCAGTGCAGCAGCAGGAGGCGCTGCACAGAGAGGGGGAGAACTTTCCCCCTCTTGTTTTCCCGCTCTAAAACAAGGTGCCGTTTAAGGTGCGTTCAGGCGGCTACCTTGGAAGCCTGGAGAGTGAGAGGGGTCGGTGTGCACTGACCCCTCTCGCTCTCCAGGCTTCAGGTTCTTGACCTGCTCTTTGGGGCTGGCGGGGGGAAGCCCACCACCAGCCCCAAAGAGCAGGACAGGGAGCAGTGGAAAGGCTCAGCGGAGAGGCTCCTGCCATAGCCGCGCGTCACCTCTCCAGCCGGGAGAGGGTCGCGGGGGGCTGCTTTAGCCCCGCGCGCGCACTCTCCCGGCTGGAGAGGTGACACGGGGCTGTAGAGGTTCCTGCCATAGCTGCGCGTCACCTCTCCAGCCGGGAGAGGGTCGCAGGGCTATGGCATCTTCGCTCCATAGGACGCACACACATTTCCCCTTCATTTTTGAAGGGGAAAAAGTGCGTCCTATAGAGCGAAAAATACGGTACTTAACCCGAGGTACCACTGTACTCTAGTTGGCCTCTGTTATTTTCTCCAGCAATAGGGAACCCACTTAAGGACTCCATATAGCAGGGGTCAGCCAAGTTGTGTTTTGTGTGGCTTGGGCCGGTTCACGGTTCCGTAGAAACTGTGGTGGGCCGGAGTGTGTGTGTGTGTGTGCGCGCGCGCACACACACGCACAAACGCTATTGCCAGCACTCCTTCCGGCACGGAAGAGGCGTGCACAGCTTCCTATTGGCTGCAGGAGCTTCTTGCAGCCAATGGGAAGCTGGCCAGCGTCATGGAAGGCGGTCACCGCTCTGCTCCGTGCCGGTTTAGTGCGGTGCGTGGGAATCGACTAAGCAGGCGGTGGGGATCCATGGGCTGGTTAAACGACCCCCATGGGGCTGCTCCATGATCTCTGCAGATGGCGACAGCAGCCACGAAATTAAAAGACGCCTGCTTCTTGGGAGAAAAGCAATGACAAACCTAGACAGCATCTTAAAAAGCAGAGACATCACCTTGCCGACAAAGGCCCCTATAGTAAAAGCTATGGTTTTCCCAGTAGTGATGTATTGAAGTGAAAGCTGGACCATAAAGAAGGCTGATCGCCGAAGAATGGATGCTTTTGAATTCTGGTGCTGGAGGAGACTCTTGAGAGTCCTATGGACTGCAAGAAGATCAAACCTCTCCATTCTTAAGGAAACCAGCCCTGAGTGCTCACAGGAAGGACATATCCTGAAGCAGAGGCTCCAGTACTTTGGCCACCTCATGAGAAGAGAAGACTCCCTGGAAAAGACCCTGATGTTGGGAATGATGGAGGGCACAAGGAGAAGGGGACGACAGAGGACGAGATGGTTGGACAGTGTTCTCGAAGCTACAAACATGAGTTTGACCGAAGTGCGGGAGGCAGTGGAAGACAGGAGTGCCTGGCGTGCTCTGGTCCAGGGGGTCACAAAGAGGCGGACACAACGAAACGACTAAACAACAACATGGGCCGCTTGTGGCCCATGGGCCTTAGGTTGCTGACCCCTGCCATACAGGCTCTTGGATACCCCATAAGGGAAAAGAAGCATATAACACTAGGAAGAGTTGAGCCGAAGGACAGCTGTCCCTCACTTACCTCCAGAGGCTGCCCTGCTCCAACCACAATAAGCTTCCCATCCTCCAAGCCCACGAGAATGTGGCTCTTCTCCTTAGTCACTGAGACGCTGTGGATGGGGACCTTCATTGCCAAAGGGGCGACAGCAGCTTGGAGGCTGAAAGGAGAGGAGGGGGGTGACTGCGTTAGATGCCGAGGCACTTAAAATCTAAAATATGTAAAGGTGATTGTAAAGGGACCCCTGACCAATAGGTCCAGTCGTGGCCGCCTCTGGGGTTGCGGCGCTCATCTCGCTTTACTGGCCGAGGGAGCCGGCGTACAGCTTCTGGGTCACGTGGCCAGCATGACTAAGCCGCTTCTGGCGAACCAGAAACAGTGCACGGAAATGCTGTTTATCTTCCTGCCAGAGTGGTACCTATTTATCTACTTGCACTTTGACGTGCTTTCGAACTGCTAGGTTGTCAGGAGCAGGGACCGAGCAACAGGAGCTCACCCCGTCGGGGGGATTCGAACCGCCGACCTTCTGATCGGCAAGTCCTAGGCCCTGTGGTTTAACCCACAGCGCCACCCGCGTCCCTCAAAATAACAAGCATAATAAAGGCAGGAACAAGCGTCGGGAAATCTTAGTGCAGTATGACCGTAAGTTATAATTAAAAAAAAAAAATTAATTGGTTTTCATGTAAATATAAGAGCAACATATACCCGAAGGAGCATCTCCACC